ATTGATTTTTTTTCTTATATTTGGAAAACATAAGTTGTAAAAAAGGCTCAATAAGTCATGAAAGATTCCGAAAGCTGTATTGAAGTCAGGTTCATTATAAACTTCGGACCACGATAGTTTAGTTAAACATTCCCTAAATTTTTCAATGTTTTCAATACAGTAATCTCGTTTGTAAACAAAATAAGATTTAGGTTTTATATGTATTTGTTTCATGGGAAAGCTGAGTAGTTGAGCTGTATCATGGTCTGATAAGCAAATAGGTAAAGCCACAGATGTTGCATTTTTAATATTACTAAAAATATGATCGATGCAAGATTCTTTCCGCGTGGGGGTGTTAATATGTAAAGTTAAGTTGTAGTTGTTACACAAATCTTTTAAATAATTGTTCACTTTGCCTGGTTGTAATGTGTTGATATTTATGTCACCTGCAACAACAATTTTTGTATTTTTTTTTATAACGTCTACATATTTCGTGTAGAACCAGGTCTAATTTTGACATGAAAAGGTAAGGATCGGAAGCAGGTATTCTGTACAGGCATATTGTTATCAAACTTTGAAGTGGCATGAAAATACCACAAGCTTCAAAAGTTTTTTGAATTGCATGGTCTTGTAGAATATTTAATTTTTCATAAGGCAATCCTCTTTTTACTAATATACAAGTTCCACCCCTTTGTTTATTCCTGCAGAACTCTGATGCAAGTTCGTAATCTGCTATTTTCAAGTATCTAAGGGAGTCAGGTTTTAAAAAAATTTCAGAAAAACACATTATGTCAGGTTCATTATTTGTTTCATATAGTTCGTCTAATGCAAGTTCTAAAAGATTTTTCTTAGAGAGAATACTAGCTATATTTTGGTGCAAAATTTTAAATAAAGGCTCCTTCACCTTAAGACTTTTTGGGAACGAAAAAACTGTCGGTTTTTAATTACGGGAAAGTAATCAGTGATTGTACGTTTGTTCTTAATATCAGTCTTAGAGGTAAAATCCCGCGTAGACAGGGTAGCAAAATAGTAAGGGATTGTACCTTTTTTATTTTTTCTCGTAATATTGTGTGTCATTGGATTATTACCACGCTCGATTAACTTTTTTATTTGGCGTACATCTAGATACTTTTTTCTATAGTCAATAGTGTCGTAGCAAAATTAAGAGATTTACACATGTCGAAAATTGAATCATTGTCAGAAGTTACAAAATGAGACATCTCAAAGTCATTACAAATATTTTGAATACATTTGTTTATGTTATATACATTAAGATATCTATTTTTAATTACACTTATTACAAAGATGTCATTGTTCTTAAAATTAATTAATAATTGACGTAATTGATATACCAGTATATTAATGTCATAATCATTTTCTCCAATACATACTATAAGTTTGACGTTGGGTGATAAACATAGGTTCTGAGAGTCTTTTAGGATATCTGCTGTAAGAGCGTGGGGCTTTGTAAATGACATTATTGAATAGTCTTCGTATGCTGTATTTTCCCTCGATCGCGCTAAAGCAAATGCTAACCCAACACACTGTTGTGGTCCATATATAAATACCCTCTTTTTAATGCTTTTTTTTGCGACGGGCTCAGAAGTAGTATCGACAAGTACAGAAGTGTCTGCATGTAGATGAGTCATCGTAATGTTGGCAAGGACTTGTTTATCGAGTGTATTGATATCTTGGAGCATTTTTTGAAGTTTAAATATTTGTTTGGTAAGAGACATAATTTGTTTTTCAGAGTCCTTTAACTTCTCTTGTAACTCGGTAATTTGCCTTTGATGGTATAAAATGCTACAATCAGTCTTCCATTTAAACACTTATTTTGCTTTGGTATGGGTGAACTATATGGCGAAGATATTATATTATAATGTGAAGATGGCTTAGATTTTTTCTTTGTACTTTGTAAATACGAGTTTCGCTAATCGGAGACTGACAAAGGGTTTTCAAAAAGCTATTTTCCTGAATAAGCTTAGAATTTTCCCTATGAATATTGTTATTTTCTAGAATATAGTTTTCTAATTCTTTTTGAGTGCTCTCCAATTCTGATTGTAGACGAATCATATTTTCTTTGATTTCGTGAACTGAAATTGTCTGTTAATCCATAGTCCAAACTTCTTAATAAAATTTGATCTGATGCTGAAGGAGATCCCTCTGATGACATGTCATTTTGGGTGTTTAAATGCAAGTCTTCAGATTGACATGATATGTTACACGGAGATATCTGCTCAATCAGCTCAGCAGCAGGTGATGTTTTTTTACTCGTTTGTGGTGTGTTAATAGTATGCTTTTTCCGGGTTGTGACAAAAGAAGGGTCAGTGTTAGGTGTTCTTAATATCTTTGGTTTGTCTTCGCACGTTTTGCATTTCCATCTCTTTTTTGTTTTTTGGTCTTTTAATAAATTTAGCTTCTTTGAGTACCCAATACAATCAAATTCATAAGCTTTTTTGCATTTTGAACATAGAATTGTTTGTCTGGCTTCGACTTTGTTCTTGCATATGTGACAGGTTACAAGCGACGGCATTATAGTTTAAGTTGAAGCTCTTAGATGTCAATAATAAACTAAAATTATTTGGTCTAAAAGGAATTTGGGTGCTGGGTTTTGAACCCGAGGTCTCCGGAGTTTGCGTTAGCGATAATCCGCCTGCACCGCGAACGCGTTAGTATGGCACTGGCGAAAATAAGTATAGAACTGTGCAAAAGCATTATTTGAATGATTCAAAAGTCGTTGCTATGACTCATGCATAAGGAATCTTTTCACTGAACACACTATTTTTGTCATTTATTTATAATTTAACACAGTTGAAGCAATTTTGGTTATATTTTAAGCATTTCTTCATCAATATAATAGCTTTTGTTTATTGTAACATCAATTTAATGACTTTGGAAGTTTTGAAATGTTTGTTTATATTTTTTTGTTCACACACTTATTTATAGTGTTTTAGCCAGTGATAACATTTGCACAGATTTTTCACATCACTATTTTCACTTACTTCACACTGTTTTCAAATTTCGGCTATTAATTATATTTTTTACGGTAAATAATCGCGGAGCTGATATGTACGTGTGACAGTAGCGCCACCTATCGTTATGATTTTAACTCTTGGATATTGCTTGGAACTTTATTGTTTAAGCGAACACAAAAACCTTTAAAGGAATTATTGATATTGTGAAGCCTAGTAGCAGGTAAAGTTAGTTTAATTTTGTTTCTTGTATTAAGTGTGAACATCCCTGTTTATAAGTTTTTTTTTTTCACAAGTAATAAATTTCAGTATATGTATTGATGCAACAACTCAAGAGCTTATCATAAAGTTAAATTCCTGAAATTTATAAAAACTCCTAATGTGTCATAACTTGCTACATATTATGCAAATTGTGAATTCTTCCAGAGCCATCAATTTAGCCTTTAGTAGATTTTTTTCTCCCAATTTACTGATTAATACTTCTCAAAAAAAAGAGTGAAGTTAGAAGTGACGAAGCACTGTCAAGAAACGCCTTATATCTCTTAACCTACTGACATCACTGGGCTCTGGTATCCAATATGCTGTTACATTCCAATATGCAACCTACAAATTCTTGTAGCATTAGTACTTAAGTCTGCAGCAAGACATATGTGGGCCATAAAAACAATGTTTTTATTCATCATCAATAAAATAGACTCATTAGCCGCAGAACTGATGGCCATTGGAGCCGGAAAGTTCTTGAGTGGAGACCACGACTCGGTAAGAATAGTGTAGGACGCCCTGAGACAAGATAGGATGATGATATTCATAGGCTGGCTGGAGTGGGCTGGATGAGAGTAGCACAAAATCGGGAGCAGTGGCGTGCATTAGGGGAGACCTATGTCCAGCAGTGGACGAACATGGGTAGATGATGATGATGAAAATAGACTATGAATAAAAATTTTCACTCCAACAATCAATTATGACACAAAATGTAGGAAACTTTTGTCAAATTTTACATTCACCATAGCAGTAGACGGCATGTGTAGAGAAACAGATTCCAGGCACAAAGTTTTGTAAATGTGTTTTTGTTGAATAGTTACAAATAAATTTTGCTGGAGATTTGGCTTTAGACAAACAAAGAAGTTATCAAACATGGCCAGTCTGTGGTAAATGGGTACAATATCACTTGTCATCTTTCTTGACCCAATTCCCTACCTACATTGTAAATCTTTGTAAGCAGAATTCTTTAATCAACCAAGAGGTGACTTCCCCAGTCTTATTGTCAGCACACACCAAACTGCAATATGCTCATGAATTGTCGAGCAAAATTGTAACTTGAAAACATTTATTGAGGTGTAGACTAAAACTTGAAAATTCTTAAATTCTGTTCTGATTACAAATATATTTATAATTTTCAGGTAATACAAATTTTGTTATTATTATGGGTATGCAACTTGTTGATATATTATAACCATGTTGAATGTTAATATCTAACACTTAAACAGTAACAACATTGGCGGCGTTACAGTTGTGGGGGGCGATGCATGTGCTGTTTTTTCGTTTCTTACTCTCTAAGCTTCACCATAAATGCTCTGCCAACTCCGTACGCGATACATTCTGTGTTGTTTGTGTGGGTATTCCTAATTGCATAATAAAACAGAAAAAACAACAAAAAATCAAATGTTCGCATTGCAGCAGTCAGATGAAATAGTATGTAATTGATACGTATGATAGTAAATCCTATGACAATAGTCAAGTATAACAATGAAAAACCGTTATATCTTGCCAACCCAAGGCGTTTGGTAGTAAAGCATGACATAAATTATATTAATAAAAGTAGTAACAAAATTAACAATAGATTGACAACAATGAAAAATTATTTAGTAATGAATACAGGTATTTGAGTTACAGTACATTGTACCAACTATTAACAATATCACTGAAGACGGCTTCGACGCCGACGACTGACATGCGTTGGCTATTTATACGGTTACTACTAAGTTTGGGTCTGAACTGTAATATCAGTTAATATTATGGATATGATTGATAAAAAATAATTATACTCACCGTTACACGAAAGTGAGTAAAACAATATTAATTAGAAACGAAGCTAGCTGTATCCTCCGACCACCCGGCTGATGCACTGGTGACTGGTGCGACTCTTTTTTTCTGTGCTTTTTTTAAATTGGACGTAGTTACGCGAAAACGTTCCAACCCACAAGTCACTCGAAAATGAGTTACCATAACCAGGGTACTATTTTTTACATATTACATCATGTGCACACAAAGATAGTAGTATTTTTAGGTTAGTTTCATCAATAAAGTTTCACCCAAATGTTCCATCCCACCATTATGCCAAGGACGTGTACTCAAAATAAAGTAAAAACATTACATGCATACTGAAACATATTGTTAAAAACTCTTAATAGAATAACATATCGTTATAATGTTCCACTTGTCTTGGAACATTATACTAAATTCATAAAACGCACATTTAATTGTTACTTAAATGATCCATGTGGGTTGGAACGTTTTTGCAAAATCTTTATACATTTTTTATTTCTGCAAAAATGTTCCATATAATTTAAAATCTTTTAGATTAATCCATACTGTTTTTTTTAAGTTGCGAACCCTGTTCTAAATAAATTGGAACGTTTTACTATAATATATTATTTTCTAATATTTTGCTATAAACGATCCACAATTACTTGATCTATTTTTGCTATTAAATATGTTCTAGAGAAAAAAATATTTTTAACCAAAATAAATAACTATGGTATATTTGGACGTAGTAACGCGAAAACGTTCCAACCCACAGCGACAACATTTTGAGATAAACGCAATATTGTGTTTTAGCGGTACACTTTTACCCTGTAATTATTTCAGGAAAATACTATTGGTTTTACTGTGGAATGCCAAGCTGGTTATTGAATAATATGCATATTTTTTGTAAATACATAATACAAGGGACATATAAATAGGTAAAACGAGTTTGAAACGTTTTTGCTAAATTTAATTTTGTATGAACCTTGTTAAATAGCAATTATGCATAAACGTTCCTAAACGAATTTAAGTGTATTATTTTAATAAATATATCTAAAATAAATATGTAAAATAATAAATAACAATGAGGAACATACAAAAACAACAAAAAGAAATTTAAAATGTATTACAAAAAAAAATTGAACGTGATCTTTTGAGCTTAGAACCTATGCCAAAAATTAGCTGATATGGTTCCAAAAGTTATCAAAAACTTACATTATAAACATTCAATTTTCATCATCGTATTCTATGATCTCAAAGCCCGGAACTCCACCAAACCCATCATCATCATCATCAGTAGCTTCTTCAGAACTTTGAAGCGTTCTATAAAATTGAAGACAATCCTCAGGTATGTAGTGGTACATGGATTGTAAGTCCACTAATTTCGCTGGAGCAATCGGTTTGCCATTAGGCCACAATAAACAAATATCAGGTTCTTTTATGTATTGCAGTTCTAGCTTTATTCTTTTATCAATTTTCAACTCATTGAAATTGTCTTCAATGAGTTGAAAATTGACATTCGTTTGCATAAAAATAGAAAACATTTTATCTTTATCCAACTTAATTTCTTTTGTATATAGCCAACTAAGATTAGTTGTACTAAAAAAATCAGTTTTTGTCATTTTGTAAACATAAAGAGGTTTAACTTTTTTACAGGTTTTAATAATATTGATGTATTCTTCAGGTGTATATACGCGTTAATGGGGCTTGAGTGCGGTTTCAATTTTTGTGAAATCTTTGTCAGTTGGTAAGAAAGTATGGCCAGACTCAAGGAATCGGCATGATGTAGTTTTCAAGGTTGGATGAGAGCTTAAAGCAAATGAAGAGAGATTTTGAGCAAGCACAAAATTCACCCTCAGTGGAATGCTTAACCTTTGATTTGAAGAAAACATTGCCTTTACCCCGCATTCACGAATATTGCATTGCACAAAAAGCAGTTGTGGTTCTACAATAGTGGTATCCATAGTGCATCTCATGATACTGGGCATTGTTATGTTTGGGTAGAAGGAGAGGCAAGAAGAGGTGCACAGGAAGTAGGTTCGTGCCTAATAAAATATATAAATCAATAACTAAAACCCACGGCTGAACATTTAATCCTATGGAGTGATTGCTGTGCTGGTCAGAACAGAAACATCAAAATCGTCCTAATGATGAAACCCATCTTACATACACAATCAATACATTTAAATTTTTTTTTATTGTTTTTGTATGTTCCTCATTGTTATTTATTATTTTACATATTTATTTTAGATATATTTATTAAATAATACACTTAAATTCGTTTTGGAACGTTTATGCATAATTGCTATTTAACAAGGTTCATACAAAATTAAATTTAGCAAAAACGTTTCAAACTCGTTTTACCTATTTATATGTGCCTTGTATTATGTATTTAGAAAAAATATGCATTTCATTCAATAACCAGTTTGGCATTCCACAGTAAAACCAATAGTATTTGCCTGATATAATTACAGGGAAAAAGTGTACCGCTAAAACACAAAATTGCGTTTATCTCAAGATGTGGTCGCTGTGGGTTGGAACGTTTTCGCGTAACTACGTCCAATTCTTTTGTTGATTATTTTTCAATATTCTAAAAGCAAACGAATCATTATGCGTACTTCCATGTTCATACGTCTATACCACACAGACTATTAGATGCTTGCTTACAGTCTATACATAATGATTATTTTCATGGACATTACTAGGTACCTATAGTCCTCTACGCACTATCCATTTTACTGGATCTAGCATGACTCCTTTACTTGTATAGCACTGTCCCTCATGACAGTGCTATACAAGTAAAGGAGATGAAAATACAGGATCTCTTAAAGCAGAAACATATTTACGTGTCGTGGCGTGTCGTGACGGGCTGGAAGCACATCGCTTTCATTACATTACATTTAATAAGGTTAGAACAGGGGGCCATTCGCCTAACGGAAATGCTTTGGAAAACGCTAAAGCATACGATTTCATTTTGTTATTTCTAGCCGCCTGAGGTTTTCAAATGCCTCGCGCTCTTTTTTTTTTCTTTTGCATTGGTAATAACAATATTTAAAAAAATGAGCGTAAGGTATTAGAAAACCTTCGGCGGTCAGAAATAACAAAATAAAATTGAAAGCGTTTTCCAAAGCATTTCCGTTAGGCGAATGGACCCCAGGTTAGAAACATATTTGTAGGTCGACTTTCTTCGAGATATATTTGGCTGTCGTGTTGTGTCGTGAGTCGTGGTGCGTCAGAACTGATAGCTATCGGTTTCATGTAATATATAAAGATAGACAGAGTACCTATCGCAAGAGTTTCGAAAATTGAATTGTGCATGTATGCGTATTGGTATTTGATTAGAGTGAAAGTGGTGTCAATTCTGGCATAGTTCTCTACACTTATACTTAAATTTGACAGCAGTGTATCTTAGTTATTCTCTTTACAGAATGTTAAGGAGAGACTGATATCAAAAGTTTTAAGTTGAGAGAATCATACTAGAATCGGCACTAATGTCGTTTTGTCAAGATATGCTTTAAGCAGACAGGATACCATAACATAAACTGTCGTGTTTAAGCACAATATTGTTTAAATTCACAGAATTACATAATAAACTTTAAGGCTTCATAGGTCGCTGTTGGCTATTACTTTATTGGAACAAGGGTACATCATGTTGCGTCACTTTCTATGTTATGGGATTGTGGTAAGTGCATAATATTTCTTTTCGTCACTCTGTCAGTCTTTAAATACTAAGTCTATGGGTTGGAGTGAGTAAGGTGTCAGGACATACATTCTATCAATAGTCTCATGACAAAATAAGTCGCCACCGTCGCTTATATGGTATCCCCGTTATACAATGCATAAAAAACTTTGATAATGGTTAAAAAGTTATATTGTAAAATTATAGCACTTCCATACTTTTCATTTATATTCGTGTCTCTATCTTATCGTAGAGTGAAAAAAAAATACATATTTTTTTTAGTCAAATATTCTTAAATGGAGCAGATTAATGCTTAGAAATAATAAAAAAAACATCATGCTTGACCTTAGAGGGCCAGGTTAATAGACAATCAAGTCACTTATGACAATTACTGAAGGTGGAAAATAAAAGAAAGTTATTATTATTATTCAGAACCCAATAAATCTAATTCAAATAAATATTCCTACGTCATCAAGTTGCTGGTTTATGCCTGCCTCATAGGTTTCATTGAAACTGGAATCATGGACACTGCACAGAGTTCCACCACAGGCAAAATTTTCTTTTTCTTTACACAGGTTTTTCATTCTTGTGAAATTATTGTCTGAAATGCTTCTTCAGCCAAATAATACTCGCGTTTTGCAGCAATGGTTGCAAATCTTCGTTCTGCCGGCCACCATCAAAATGATTCCTTTCACCACTGTTCAAATATTTTTTTTCTCATATAAAATTAACTTTTTGACGAACCAATGGCACATAATATATACCCATTTCTGTGTTATTGATCTCAATTATTAATATTTCGTCCACTATGCATCGAATTGTACTCTTTGAAATATCTGAAGCATAGACAAATCAGATGATAAAAACCATGTTCACATTTATATTACAAAAGTATCAAATCTGTAGGGCGTAGTGTAAGTTGTAAGTGAATTTTCTAACATCAATACAAAGTAAACAATGTAAGAACTCTGATGTAATTATGTATTAAAACAGAAATGATGGTCTCGGGAGTAGAAACTTTGTTCGTGAATATTAACCGGCGCTATGCCTTGCCCCGAACTTCTTTTTGCTAAGGAAACGCTTGCAGTGCAGGGATAAATATATATTAGAGAGCACAGAAATTATAAAAACACAAACTTATAAAAACTTACTTCAGTTTTAAAAGAACATGACACAATCTCAGACCAAATAACAATAATATTTTTTTCATCCCACCACCTCGGAAAGTGTAATTTTGCGCTTCGAAATCTGGCTGGAAAATTCTATTTTATTCGCTTGAGCGGCAAAGTAGATTTGAATTTAGAACATCACATATAATGAGTACTCAATATAATTGTAAATTCAAAACGTCATTAAACCTATTTAATGTAACCTCTATGGTGCCAAATTTATGATTAGAACTTTTTAAATTGTGAAAAAATTTAAATTTGGAACCTTCTTGGTTTCTTTGTTTTATTTGCGTGCTTCGCGCCATTCTAGTTTTTCACGTTTTATTGCTTAATATAATTAACATAACCTAAAAACTGTACAAAAAAATCAACTAAAATGAGTGACATTAGCGACGATGAAGTTTATCTAACGCCAACTGAGTTAACTGAAACAGTTAATAATGCGCAAATGAGCCTTCTCCCTCAGCAATCACGAGAGAAGTATTTGAAACAGTACGATATATTTAACATGTGGCGACTAGCTAAAGGAGCAAAAACTTTCTCCGAAAACGTTTTGCTGGCATATTTTATAGAATTATCTGAGACCAAGAAAGCAAGCACGCTATGGAGTACGTATTCAATGCTAAAATTAACAATTAAGATGAAGAAAGACGTTCATATCGACACCTATCATAAATTAGTGGCATTTTTAAAAAGAGCCTCATCTGGTTATAAACCAAAAAAATCGAAGGTTTTCACAGCATCTGAAATTGCAAAGTTTATTAATGAAGCACCTGATTCCGTATATTTAGCGGCAAAAGTAAGTCAATACGTGTAATTTTTTGTTGTTGATAAAATTGTACATAGTACTTACAATATTTTTAATTTGATTAATTTATTTACGATTATAAATACTTCTTTTGTTACAGGTTGTTCTTATTATTGGTATAACCGGAGCATGTCGAACAAATGAACTTACACTACTTAATGTCAATAACGTATCAAAATATTCTCATAATTCTGATGAATTGCTATTAATTAATGTACTAAATACCAAGACAAAAAAAGACCGCAACTTCGTTATTCGCAAGGAATATGTAAACATTGTTCAGAAATATCAAGCTTTACGTCCTTCTAACACCCCAATTGAACGATTTTTTCTACAATATCGCAACGGAAAGTGTATCCGACAACCTATGGGTCAGAATAAAATTGGCAGTATTCCACGAGAAATAGCAACTTTTCTCGGACTTTTAGAACCCCCGTTATACACCGGTCACTGTTTTAGAAGAACCTCAGCCACACTTTTGGCCGAATCAGGGGCTGATCTTCTATCGCTTAAGCGCCATGGAGGCTGGAAGTCTAATTCGGTTGTAGAGGGATACATAGAGGATTCAATCCAAAGTAAATCAAAAATTTGTAATAGTATCGTGGAGGCCATAACGCTGAAAGAACCTCTGTCAGATTCTTGGTCTCGCCCTTCTACATCTAAAATGAGCCCCCATAAGATTGGAAACAATAGCCCTCTCTCGCCAACATTTACGCCAATAGAATCCAATGAATCGGCACAACTATTTAAAATTACTGATACGAGTAGTTTACCACAAAACAGCGCACAATTCACAAACACCAACATAACATTACCTAACAAAAATATTAAACTTAACATAAGTAACTGTAGCAACGTTACATTTAATATTTCTTAATTATTTTCTACTTCTTATTATTTTCTTCAATTTATAGATTATCTTAATGTGTTTTAATTGAAATAAAAATATTTTGTCATTATAAATTGTTTTCTTTTTCATTTTGTCATTTCCTCGCTGAGGTGGGATGAAAAGTTACGTATTGCACTCGAGTGGAAAGATTTTTCACCTTGTGCTCGTTTGTTTCCCTCGCTGACGCTCAGGATTCTAATTTAGAATCACTCGCTGCGCTCGTGATTCAACTTTAGAATCCTTCGCTTGCTCGGTCATCCAAATCGAGCACGCGGTTAAAAAGGAACTTTCCACTCTTGTATAATAAATAACTATTGTCTATCTAACATGTTAAACTAAATTCAAATTTAATTATGCTGCCTGCATTTACAAAAAAAAAAGGTTCCACGACATACTCCCGCCGTTGCTGATTAAAATCTGCAATAACCTTAACAAATCACATTATACATATCTACAAATCTAACCTAAGTGGAGCCGTAATGGGACGATCAGTACGTGAGACCCTCGAAGTTTCAGTTTGACTCTGAGGCACGGTACAAGGTTCAACACCAGTACCAGACTGTGTAGACTCTTGCTCGTATGACGCCGAGACCTCAATCGAGTAGTCTTTGCAGTGACCTAAATAGTACCCCATTAGCTGTCTTTACCCTAGCGATGCGGTATAGCCCGTCACGACCCTCATAAATTTCTAAAACTCTCCCCAAAGGCCAATTCTCCTTTTTTTTTTGAACCATCCGACCCAATCAAGACCACAATGTTTAAAATCCTGCAAGTGTCGTTACACCTCCTTTCGACTAACGCTGAAAGGTACTCATTTCGGAAACGAACTCTCAAGTCTTTTGCAGGCTTCTGGATATATTGCCAACGAACCGGCAAATCTTTAGAGTCTAAAAGATTTAAACTACTCTCGTCGCCTTTACTATTATTTATAAACATGGAAGGAGTGAGTGGTTTTAATTTTTCGGTACTATCCGAAATATATGTGATGGGACGAGCGTTGATGACTGCCTCTACTTCACATAACGCCGTGTACAACTAACTCTACCTGAGTCGAACTTGCCCTGCCTAATGTTGTAGTCTATGG